AACCGCGTGCGCGCGACCCCGCCCCGTGGCGCGCGACCGCCAGGCGGCGCCCTCACCGACCGCCCCTCACGGCGGGATGGACACCGGGCAGGACCCTCAGCGCAACCCAAGAGCGCTAATTAAACAAAAATGTCTTCATTCTGCACGCACTCACCGCAACYGTGAGGGGAAAAGTGTCCTCCGCCAGGCTGCCGTGCTGCTCTCGAGTACCCCGCGTTGGGGATTCCGGTTCGTGATGCCGTTCCTGATGCCGCGGCTGTCCCGATTCCTGCGTCTTGGCGCGATAAAAGGTTAAATATCTGTTAAATAGCTGCGTTTTGGTGGCAGAATAAAAGTGTGTTTTGCTTGGCAGAGGTTTTGGTCTTGCAAGGGCTGGGGGTGCTTGCAGGGTGCCGGGTGCCCCTGTGCCCTCGGATTTCAGAAGAATTCTGAAATTCCTCAGCCCTTCCCAAATTACCTCGGTCAGGCTCCTCGTCTGGAATGTGCCATGCTGATCCTGGACGGCAGGCAGGGAGCTTCGGCTTTCTGGAAAGATCCTGGCATGGCAGCAAGCACCGGGAATGCTTCATGGAGGGAAGGCAAAGTCCTGCGGGAACAGAGAAATGAAACAGGAAAAGGACTTATAGGAAACATTTACAGGACTGCAAATAGTCCTGGATGACCTTTAAAGGCCTCTTCCCACACAAGCTATTCCACGGTTCTGTGAAATAATGCGAGAGAGCAGGGTTAGATGGGATACTGGGAAAAATTCCTTCCCTGTGAGGGTGGGGAGCCCCTGGCACAGGTTGCCCAGAGAAGCTGTGGCCGCCCCTAGATCCCTGGAAGTATCCAAGAGCAGGCTGGACGGGGCTTGGAGCAGCCTGGGACAGTGGAAAGTGTCCTTGACCATGGCAGGGGGGTAGCACTGGGTGGGCTTTAATGTCCCTTCCAACCCCAACCACTCCAGGAGTCTCGGATTCTGTGGAATAACGGAGCTGGCCACAGGAGGGCAGCAGCGGGCTGGGAGAGGAGAGGGCAAACGCCGGCAAAACACAGCTTTCGGATGTAAAAAGGGCATTTCTGTCTGCTGCACAACCCCTTCCCAAGCCCGAACAGTCTCTCCTGGCCATCCCCACGATGCTTTATGAGAGCTGGAGGCACTCACCTTGTTCCAGGAGATCACAGAATATCCTGAGTTGGAAGRGATCCATAAAGATCAGCCAGTTCAACTCCTACCCCAACACAGAGAGCCTTGTCCAAGCACTCCTGCAGCTCCGGCWGTCTTGGGGCCGTGACCATTCCCTGGGGAGCCTGTTCAGTGCCCGACCACCCTGTAGGGGAAGAACCTTTTCCTTATACCCAACCTTAACCTTCCCTGCCTGGAATGAGCACCCGGTATTTTAATCACAAGCCGGGTTTCACCCCAAACCACACCCTCTGCTCTAACGTATTGACTGTAGCTGCAGGGATACCCGCAGATCCAAACAAACCCGGCTTTGGGGTTTAAACACCCCCATTTTACCAGGAAACATGGACRTCTGCTGCCATTTTAGCATCATCCTGATCAGTGCCTTTGCACCCTCRGAAGAGCAGCTCCCTGTCCAGAAGTATCACTGCCAAGCAGGAGGTGGAGAGGCAGCCCTTCTGCAGCCACAGTGGTTGCACACAGCAAAGCCTTCAGCGGTCTCCTCATGTGGGAATTACCATCCCCACATCCAGCCAGGACTAACAGGGCAGGGAGAACTCCTGGAGCATCCCTGCTGACACACTCAGCGCAGCTCACACCACTGCCCAAGGCAGCTGGAGGCCAGTGGGTTCGGGTGTGTGACCGGCCCCAGCAGCCACAGAGTTGATCATATCCTAAATAATTCTCCTTGTTCACACAGGGTTCGCGTGGCTGCATTACCTTAGCACAGGTACGAGCCAGAGCTCCACACCACCTGCCATCTCAAGCAGACTTCTCACACCAGCCTGGCAGGTGCAACATCTCCCTCCCCACTTTCAGCTTTTCCTGCTGCCATTGTCAGCCCCAAGAACARCAAATGCAGGAGCAGAGGGAAGCACTGGAAGAGGGACAGCATCRACCTGCTCACCTGCCTTGCTGCAAAAGCAGCTAAATCCTGCCCAGGCAAAGCCACATTCCTCCGAAATAGGAGCAGCAGCAGCACAGTCTCCTCCAAGTGCTATGAGAGATGCTGCAGGGGCTGGATACACCTCGGACAAAGCCAACCTGCAGGCACAGACTCACCTTCCCCACTGGCTGGTGACGCCCATGGGATTTCCGGAGTGCGGCTGGGTGCACAAACTCCTGGGCTGTCTGAAGAGCCAGGTCCTCCCAGCCTTTCTCAGGAGGGAGAAGCAGGAGCATGGGAGGAGCACGGCGGCTGTTCCTCCCACAGGTAACCCCATTTTCCTGGAACACAGCAGCAGTTCCATTGCAAAGGCCTTTGCTCTGCTGTCGGGTAGAAAGCACTGACTGACAGGGCTTTACTCTCTCCGGGTAAACACACACACACACTCCCACACCCAGGAATAAAGCCTGATCTCTGCTCCCAGCCTGTGGGTCACACTTGGAAGGCTAAAGSTCTGCCCACACCTTGGTTTCACACACAGCAGGACATCAGGAAGACAAACATTTTTTTTTTTTCCTAATAATCCCTAAGTCAGGTTTGGCACCAGTTCAAAGCCGCAGGGTGATGGTGGCTTGACTGTGAGCACACTCTGGAAATGCTGGCTGCCTTTCCTAGCAGGACATAGCTGGATTGTCGCCCTCAGGACTTAGTTTATTTTATAGCAGCCCACAGGAAGGCTGTTGGAAGGCACAAGGGAATCCAGAGCAGTTATGGATCCTCCTGCTATTCACAGGAAATGCTCTTCTTATTTGTAAAGGAAAGCAACAACCCTCCAGAAAACAGGTGTAAGGCCAGACCTGGCTTACACATAACATTTTCACTCACTTTGACTAATAAGAGTTATTCCCTGTTCCAAGCCACTGGTCCAGATGGGAGGTAACTCTTTCCCTCTGCTCTGCTCAGAGACCCCTCCTGAAGACCTGCATCCAGCTCCAGGGTCTCYAGCACAGGAAGGATATGGAGCTGTTGGAGTGAGTCCAGAGGAGGCCACCAAGTTAATCAGAGGGATGGAGCAGCTCTGCCATGAGGAAAGGCTGASAGAATTGTGATTGTTCAGCCTGGAGAAGAGAAAGCTTTGGGGTACCTGATTGTCCCTTCCAGTACCTGGAGAGAGCCTGCAAGGAARSTGTAGAGGGGCTTTGGACRAGGGCCTGGAGTGACAGGACGAGGGGAAATGACTTCACCCTGCCAGAGAACTGGGTTAGATGGGATATTGGAAAGAAATTCTTCCCAGTGAGGGTGGTGAAGCCCTGGCACATGTTGCCCGGAGAAGCTTGGAAGTATTCAAGGGCAGGTTGGCAGCACTACTACACATGGGGGAAAAAAATCATACAACTCCCACAGCTGCTTTACCAACCAGTGAGGYGTCAAGAGAATTCTAGAGCTTTCCAGAGCTTTTCTGATAGCTCCTTTTGGCCAGTTCATGGCACTTCTTGGGGATGTCATAGCGTACAGTACATGGTCCTGGCACAGTGACAGACAGAGGGGGAAGCGGAGGGTGGCAGAGCTCTGGGGCTGGCAGAGGAACTCGGCACTGCTACCTGCACTGGGCGGTTCTGGGYTTGCCACTCCTCTGAGCGAGGGTGAAGGGCAGCTCCCTCGCCTCCTCCTGATATCTGCCCACGGCCAGGCAGAGGCAGCTCCCTCCCAAGGCAGGCACGAATCCCACACGGAAGTCAAGGCACTGCTTGGCTCACATGAGACCTCAGGCGAAGRAGCTGGGGAAGGAAACCACACGGTGAGAGAGCCCAGGAGCCTCCAGCCCATCCTGCCCACAAGCCCGCTCCTGACAGATCTGCCCTGAGGGGCTYCGGAAGAGAGGGGCACCGAGGAAGGCTCTCCGCTTCACCATGCAGGTAGGAAGAGAAACTGCCCCGATATTCCCAGGATGCTGCTTTTCAGCACCTGTGAGCATGGGAAACACTAACCTCCAATCTTTAGCATTCATCTGCTTTTGGTCTTTAAGGTAAAAAGTTCTTGCCACAAGTGTGTGACAGGGAACACGGGATGTACTGCCGGTCCCATGCACCATCCCAAGGTGCAATGAGGTCACACTGGTCCCACATGTCGGTACCAGAGTTCAGAGGTACCAGAGCATGGATCAGAGAAGGATGGTATGGATGGAGCTTATGTAAACCTAGGAATGAGGACTACAGAGGTGACAGCCCCAGGTGTTCCGGGGGCACCTGGAATACCACTAGGGCAGGGGGGCAGCTGTGGTCTTTTTCTKCTCTAACTTGGAAGAAAAGATGTGGTGTTTTTTTCCTGGAAAAATCCAGGCAGACTGTGCAAGGTTGGGGCAGGTAGTAAAGGTACAGGTCTGCCCGTCCAAGCAAAGGCTGTCCATCCCACTTCTCAGGAAGCCATGGGCTAAGGTGGAAGTGCTCCAAGGGAAGCTGTGTAAGGAGCATCCTGGAGATAAGAGCAATTTGATCATCTCAGTGTGGGTGATGGGAACCGCCCAACCCCACACCAATCCATGGCTGGGATGGAAAACAAGGATGCCAGATCCTATCCAGGYCCTTTTCCTGAGTTACTCACATGGGTGACTCCGCACCCAGCCCAGTGCTTCCTGTTGCCATTTCCCCGAAGAAATGCTCAAGACAGTCAGGTACCTGGCCTGTGACAAGGGGACAAGGACCAGTGTTACACCTGAAGGCATGGAAACCCTTTTCAGCATGGAAAKTCCTCCTTCCCATTCTGCCAGTCACTTCTACACCTTTGCACAGCGGCATCTGCACATCCTGTTTCGACCACAGGGCAGGAAGGAGTGAAACCGAAACTGTCCTTCCCGASAGCAAAGACAGAGTCCAGGGTCCATATAACCACTGCAAAGCCCAGGGGGCCTTACCTGCACCAGATCCCATTGCCTTGTGAGATCAGAGCACGGCAGCCACCAGCAGACAGCATCCCTAATTCCTGGGAAAAAACATTTAGGTGTGAAAATACCAGTGATCCGAATCCCTGCCCTCTGCAACTGTCCCTGCCCACACATCCCTGCCTTCCCACCAGGAATGGAACAAAGGGGAAAGCCTTCAAACTGATAGAGAGCAGGGTTAGATGGGATATTGGGAAGAAATCCTTCCYTGTGAAGGATTTCTATGGGGCTATGGGGAAGCTGTGGCTGCCCCATCCCYGCGAGTGTCCAAGACCAGGTTGGATGGGGCTTGGGGCAACCTGGGCTAGTGGAAGCCCCCAYAGCAGCAGGGTGGAACTGGACAGGCTTTAAGGTCCATTCCACCTGAGCCACTCCAGGGTTTTGGGATTCTACACATACCCCATATGGCCCCAAAAGCATACTGGGCACCTGCACAGCTGCCCAAGCAACTGGGGCTTAAAGCAGCCACTGGGATGAATCCAACATCCCATGTGTGAGTCCACCTTGGTAACCTCTCCACCTCTTCCTAAGGAAGTGGACGTGCTGGCTGGGATGCTCTGACTCCCAAGCATGACCATACCTGCAACTGTTGGAGCTGGGAGCCACCTGGGAACAGAAGGCGTGATGCCAGAAGGTCCCTTCAGCTCATCTTAAGCTCCATTGGGGTCTGCAGCAGCAGGAAAAGTATGCCAAGGTGGCATTAGGAACACCTCAAAATGTCCCTGTACCCAAAGGATGGCTTCCCCTCCACATCCCCATGATCACAGGTGGTGCTGGCAGGGAATTGCTGCAGGATGAGGCTGGAGRCTGAGGGAAACCAGCCAGGCAGGAATGAGCCAACAACGGAGAGCTGTGCCAGGCCAGATCCGTGCCAGCATCAGAGCACTGGAAGTGGGGCAGAGACCAGAGAGGCTCCCACTCCCTCTCCTGTGCCCAGAGAGGGGCTCAGACTGGGACAGTGCAAACTGCTGCACCCAATCCGGACCCCCAAACTTGGTTAGAGCAGATGATAACACCATAACACCCCCTCTGCCATAAACTGGGTACCTTTTATCCRAGAGAAGCTCTGGCTCTTGTTACAACAGCACCTCTGGGGGGAGCATCCCTCTTCTCAGGCCTTCCCACTTCTCCTTCCTKTCAGTCAGTCTCCTCATGGCTCTTGTGCTTTGGCTCATCCACGTGAGCCAGGATCTGGCAGAACATTTCATCCCTTTCCTCATCCCGGCCTCTCTGCTCCCATGGCCTCATTTTCCAGTGAAAGCTCGCGATGCAATCTTACATCAGGGCACAGTTGCACCACTGTGGCTGTGCTGCCGAGATTACAGCTGGAGGAACTTGTCTGGCTGGCCGCTCTTTCAGATCAGTGTCTCTGGTGACACCGAGTGACAATATTCCCATCCCTGGCAGCTCCTTTCTGCTGCTGCGCTGCATCACCTGCCCTTGGGAACAGCGGCATGACTGTTTGTGGGGACACACACCACGAGTCACATTGAAGGGTGGRAAAAACCCCACAGGGGCAGCTGATGGCTTAAGCTGAAGAAGAGCAGGGTTGGATGSGATATTGGGAAGAAATTCTTCCCTGTGGGAGTGATGAGGCCTTGGCACAGGGTGCCCAGGGAAGCTGTGGCTGCCCCATCCCTGGAGTGTCCAACAGCAGGCTGGACAAGGCTTGGAACAACCTGGTCTAGTGAAAGGCRTTCCAGCCCACRGCAGAGAGTGGAACTGGATGGTTGAAGGTTCCTTCYAACACAAACCATTCCATGAYATCCTGCTTTGCGCTCCCCTAGAGTGTACCCGTGGGTGTCCGAGTGTAATTTTCTGTAACCAGGAMGGTGGGAGCTGCCTTGGCCCCTGCACAGCCGTTCTCTCCAAAGTCACTGACACAGAGGAGGGGAACAGGGAAAAGCCAGAGTTCAAGCAGTGTTTGGACAAAACTCTTAGCACATGGATGCTTGGAGTGGTCCTGTGCAGGGCCAGGAAGGAGCTGGATTAAATGATTTTTGTGAGTGTCTTCCAACTTGGGATGTTCTATGATTCCATGATCAGCAGCTCATCCTCCCCTCTCTGCCCCTTGGCTGCAGCCTGAGGCATCCAACATGTTTTCCAAGAACTTTTTTCACCTGCTTTCMTGCAGGGTTGTGCCAGTTTCCAAGTGTCCGTGCTCCACTCTCCCTTCACCGGAATTTAAAACTACCTTCTCCACCCTCCCCAAAAAGCCAACAGTGCCCTATCTGATAGGAACAACTGACGAATGGAAAAGGCTGATTAAAGCCTGTAAAATCCACTGTAGCATGGAGAGAGAGGGTGAAGGGTGAACACCTTCCCGGTACAAATGTCAGGGCATCAGTGAAACAGCTGAGGGAGGTTTTTTCTCCTGGTCCAGATCCCTCACAGCCCCAGGGCATGGTGAGTTCTAGCGGAGGCTGCACACCCTCCCAGGGCAGCCGTTCCTCTAGCATCCCTAAACATAAATTCCTGGCTRGCTCAGAAAGACCCCAAACCAGTGATCAGGAGCATGTGGGAGAAGTTTTCACACAARCCAGCTCTTTCCTTCCTCCCTGGGCATCCCTTCAAGGCTGCTGGAAGATGAAAACACAGGATGTCCCAGGGAGCCTGCTGAAGCCTTCCCTTCACTGGTTTTCTTTTCAGCAGGACGAAATCCTGTTGACTCCCTGGAGGGAATTTCCTGTTGAAGACACAGACCCCTTTGCTTCCCCGGTAAGCTTTGCTCCCTCCACACCTGCAGCAATCCCAGCCCAACTCAGAGAGGGGACAAATTCCCATTTCCCCTGCYCATTCCCAGTTCCTCTCTACACAGCCACAGTGAGGGTCCAAACCTCCGAGAGGCTGCAGCTGGGAGGGAGAGCTCTCACCTTTCCATCCCTAATAATTCCCTGGTGGTTTTGTGGGCAGAATGAAGAGAAGTGGGATTTTGTCCTGGTGAGCGACATCCACGAAATGGGTAGCGAGAAGGAGATCAAGAGGAAGAAGTTCTTGGATGAGCTGAGCAAGAAGGGCTTCACCATCAAGGTGAGGGGCTGTGGGAGGAAAAGGCAGCAGATACTTGGCCTGGCATGTGGGCTCCTGCATCCCAGGAAATGGGAAAAGCCTGAGCCATTGAGCTGTTCATCATATCAGAGCTGGAAAATAACTCCCTTCTCTTCCTCTCACCAGAAAATTGAGGACACGAAGCTCTTTTATGGAGTCCGTGCCCCGCAGCACATCTTCCGGAAATACCAGTGTCTCCTGAAGAACCCAGACAGCAGGCAGCAAAACCCCAACACCCACCAGGATGTCCCAGTGACCACCAGGTCTGTACTGAGCTGATTTCCAGCATCCTGCACTCAATGTTCTCCACACCAGCATGCATTTTCCAGCTCAGTTCACAGCTGTGCCAGCTTTTCATTTTCCACAGAACCTTCCTTCACCTCCCACGTGCAAAGCTGACGGCTTCTCACTGCCCACATTTCTCCCTGCCTCGCGTCCCTGGATTTTAGYGCACACCTTCTCCCTTCTCTGCCCTGTTTTCCTGAGCCACACAACAGAAGTCTGTATCCCAGAGCAACTTTTAACGGGATTTTCTCCCTGTTCAGGATACGGATCGTGCACTTCATCCTGCAGAACACTGTGACATCCGACCTAGGTAAGGGAATATGGATCACAGGGGTGATGCTCAGCCTGGATCTGCAGGAAGAATCCTGCCACATGGTGGGCAGTGGCATCCCAGCTGCCTTGCCATCCTGGGGAGGATAGAAAAGRGGGAAGCTCAGACAAGTCAATTTGCTGCTGCATCCAGAGGCTGGGAGATCTGGATGCAGGAACCAGCAGTTCCTCTGCTCCCTCTCCCCAAATCCCTAAGCCTGACCCTCTCCCTTCTGCTCTGCTCCCAGAGAAGCTGCATGACCTAATGAAGAAGAAGGTGTTTGAGGCAGCCTTTCCCCTGCATGAGGTGAGGCCGAGCACACAGTGCCTGGGGGAGAAATCCTGGAGAGATGGAGGAGCAGGATGGGGTGAGGGGAACCTGTGGGTGACCGGGGCTGCAYCAAGACCTCACTGGGTGAAGGGCACGGCAAAGCTCCGGGTAGCTGCCTCAGAGCTGGGGCATTAAGGGTGCCCTGTATCCAACCAACTTCTCTGCTCTCCAGAAAGAAGAGGTAAGGGAATTCCTGAAGGCAAAGTGGGCTCGCTGGAGAGTTGTATTTAAGCAACAGCCGATCGAGAAGATCAGGTAACACAGGCACAAGAGGCAGATCTTTCTAACYAAGAGGTCCCACCTGAAACCCAGAGGGCTCAGTGCCCTTTGCCAGGCTCCTGCATTGTCTAAAACTCATTAGTTTGAGGCTGGCTCTTCTCACAAGCACTGGGCTGCTTCTGCAGCTTCCAAAGCTCTTAGCCTGAGGGTAAGAGCTCTTATCCCTGTGGCTCCAAGCTCCATCTGCTCACCCTGCAGCATGAAACAGCCCCCACATCTGTGTGGACTTTACTGAACCTCTCTGGTTTTCAGCCACCTTTGGAAAGGAGGAGAGCTGGGAACAGAGCATCAGTGCTGCACATCCAGCCCGAGGCTGAACTCGGGGCAGTAAAGGCAACATGGGGCTCCTAYAACCACATGAAATCCCAGGAAAGAGCTCAGCTCTAGTTTTTGAAAACAAACTCCATGGGCAGGGGTGGGAGAGCAAAAAGAACATGTTACTTCATAAACCTACCAGGAAACTCTGGTAGAGAGGGGAGTTCTTAACAYAGAGATGCACCTCTGACAGCTGGCACAAAGTTAATTCCTGTGGGATGCAGGGCTGCCAATCCCTCTGTCAGTCGGTCATTTCTTAACCATGACTCCAACCTGCTCTGCACATCACAAAAACTGAGATGCTGCCACCATGGGCCTTTTCTAGTGACTTCCAAAACCCAATCTCCTCTCTGGCCACAATCCCCACCTCACCTTTCCTCCTAGGTGCTATTTTGGAGAGAAGGTGGCCTTGTACTTCGCCTGGCTGGGCTGGTACACCTACCTGCTGGTTTTCGCTGCCGTGGCTGGGYTGGTGACCGTCGTGGCTGGGACCACTGTTTACAGTTCCAGCCAGGTGAGGTAAGGCTCTTGGGAATGCCAAATACACATCCCGTTCAGCTCTGCAGGTGGCTCTGAGGCACCCTTATCCCCTTTGGYTTCCCTCCTCCTTTCTCTCCAGCAAGGAGATCTGTGATGCCAACACCACCATCATGTGCCCGCTTTGTGACCAGAAGTGCCCGTTCTGGGTCCTCTCTGACACCTGCACCTACGCCAAGGTAGGGAACCTCCTTCCCGCAGCAGGCTCAAGGTAAAGAATGGGAAAACACTCCCAGCTCGTGCTGCTCCCACACCACTAGAAAGAAACACCAGCCCAGATCACAGTCTCCATCACCACCAAGGAAGATTTTACCAGTGACAAACCCCAGTGTCCATTACCTTCCTGCATTTTTCACTCTTGTGTAGTGCCTTTACCTGTCTCTGGTTGGCAAGACCTCGAGGTGTCACAGCCCCTGCACCTCAGTGCCCCATCACGCTCTTCCTTCATCTCCTCCAGGTCACTCACATGATTGACAACGAGGCCACGGTCGTGTTTGCCATGTTCATGGCCATCTGGGGTAGGTGTCCATGTCTGGTTGTCCAGTGCACACAGTTGGGAGAGGGAGCAGAAGTTGGAAAATGGGACACCAACACAGCTTCACCCTCTGGGAGTTTTATATCTCATCTGTTTCCAGGGCCTTCAGCTTCCATTCCAGGCACAGCAAGAGACAAAATAATYCTGGTCATATCCTCCAGCTCCCCAAATACTCCTTACCTGTCCTACCTGAATCTTCCACTCACCACAGCCTTCCCCAAAGCACCCAGCAGCTTCCCAGTAGCTACTGCTAAGTGGCCACAGCGACAGGAAGGAGGGGCCTCCAGACTGCCCCACCACCTTTCCAAATCACTGCACAGCCTCTTATTTGCTGTGGGATGATGGGATCCCGTCACCACCTTAGCTACATATCTGGCATTTTCACAGCCCTTTACTGTCCCACCTGCGACGCCAYGGCACGGTCCTGAGTGTGTCTGTGGGCTGCGTCACACTCAGGAGGCTCAATCCAATTAAYAGAGGGGGTGGTTGGAATTGGAGTTGGAGAGGTGTAGCCATACCAGGGTGCAGTGCAGGACAYCCATTCCACCTGAAAAGGGACTTATCCCAAATTCCCTATGGACACTTGAACAGGCCTGGCTGCCAGTGAAAGCTCACCTGCACCATCCCTGTTCCCCCTCACTGCTGCCTGTCCAGAGTCCTTCCAGGTCAGCAATGTGCTGAGGGGACTGCCTGTCCTTCACAGGCCAAGGGCAGTCCAGGCTGGTTTGCCATCAGGTTGGATGTGATGTCACTCTCTGGGGGACAGAGGGATGGCTTTCAGAGCCACCCCTGAGTGTCACTGCACTTTCTCCTTCCCAATCCAGCCACTGTGTTCCTGGAGCTGTGGAAGAGGGAGAGAGCCACTGTGGTCACCGACTGGGACCTCTATGGGTGGGATGAGGAAGAGGTGAGGACATCATCTTTCCTGCTCGGGGCTTTCCTTTTCAGGGCAGCAGTCACCCAGACCTAGAAAAGACACGTYGGAGGGGTCCCTTGCCAGACTGAACTCAGTCAGGCTTGGCCACGCTGTTGTGGGTTGGTTGCTCACCCCATCCTTCTCCAGCACTGCTCATCCCATTTGTCCATTGATGCAAGGGGCACAAAGCACTGCTGGGTCCCTTCTTTACCATTGTTTTTAATTTTTTTTTTAAAGGAGGAGCTGGCTCTGGAGCTGATCAATAATTTGCAGCACGAGCCCCGGCTGTACCAGCACTCCTACTTCCGCAGCACCATCGTCCTTGTCTTGGTTCTGCTGATGGTACGTGCCAGGTGACCACAGGAAGGTTTGGTTTAAGGGCACATGGACCAAAGGAGCAAAGGCAGAGACCAGGATTTTAGGGCAGTTCCATGCCCATCACAAGGATCCTGGGGCTTCCTCACACTCACACCTCACTGTACTGATAGCAGGGGCCACCCATCCTTTGGGGACATGGGCTGAAGGCTCTGTTCTTGCAGCAGGATCAAAGGATCTTGCAGTAGGATCAAAGCAGTAGGATCAAAGCAGACACAGAAGGCAGGAAGAGGCAAATCCTGACACCCTTGTCTCCATCCCCTGGGTCAATGGAGACTGGTTCAGGTGGAGACATAGAATCCKGGAATCACAGAATGTTAAGGGTTGGAAAGRGACCTTACCTAGTCCCAACCTAATGCCATGGGCAGGGACACCTCTCACTACCCCAGGTCACTCAAGGCCTTGTCCCACCTGGCCTTGGACACTGTCAGGTTTGGGTAATYTGCMATCTCCCTGGGCAGCCTGTTCCAGKATCTTMTSACCCTCACAAGGAAGARTTTCTTCCTAACATGCAGCCTAAATTTCCTGTTTTCAGTCTGCACCCATTATTCTTTGTCCCATCACTGCACCCACCTCACGAACCTGTCAGCCTCCACTGAARGGCACTGGTTTGCCTTTGAGACCACACACTGTGGGAGCACATGCCCTCCACAGTCCCTGACGCCTCCTTTCCCCCTCCACAGATCGTGCTGCTGATCGGCATTGCCCACGCACTGGTCATCTACCGGGTAGTGGCCATGGCCCTGTTCACGCAGAGCCAGCTGGAGCTGCTGCGYGAGCACGCCAACACCATGGCCGTGATGACAGGGGCCGTGCTGCACTACATCACCATCGTCATCATGACCAAGGTGAGGAGCCACACGGGGTGCCTGGTGGGATTTCTCCATGGCCAGCCCTCCCTGCTCACGGCATCCCTCTGTCCTGCAGGTCAACCGGCATGTGGCCCTCTTCCTCTGTGACCTGGGTAAGGGCAATGGGGTGTGTGTCTCCCACCTGCAGTGCCCCTTTGTCCCTGAGACTGCTGTCCCCTTCCTCCCCACCAGCACGAGGCAGCTCCCAGGCAGGCCCCCAGACTGAACCACAGCCAGTGTTGCAGGGACAGTCACCCTACAGGGTTGAGACCTGGCATGAGCAGGAAACCACTCAAGCTCCAGGAGAGCTCACAACATGGCTCTAAGGCCCCTTCTAYCCCTGCTCATGACTCTGAGGGATCTCCCTGCTTAGCTGGACTCATCTCCATCAGAGGGCTCAGGAGGAGGGCAGGGAAAGCTKCAAGAGGGGCATAGAGACCCTTCTGGCCTTCAGAGCTGCAGTGGCACCCACAGRGGAGCAGGGCAAGGTCACTGCACTGTGTCCAAGCCCCTGGGCATTGCTCCCTTTCCTAGAGAAACCACGGACCTTCTCCCAGCGGGAGAACAGCTTCACTGTGAAGATCTTCACCTTCCAGTTCTTCACAAACTTYTCCTCACTCATCTACATAGCCTTCTTCCTGGGACGGTGAGTGGAGAACACAGGGCAGCTGGGCTTTGGGATGGATGTTCCCAGCTATCCCCAGGGTGTAGGGACAGACCCCTGCCCAGCCTCTCTGCCATCCCTGGCAGGCACAGAGACCCCATTTGGGACTGAGGAGGGCCATGACCCCATGGGTATCACTGTTGCTTCCTTGCTCAGGATCAACGGCCACCCRGGGCACTACGTGCGCATCGCTGGCCGCTGGAGGCTGGAGGAGGTGAGGCACCCACTCTGACCCCACAAACAGCTCTTCCTTTTCCTTCCCCTACTGCCCAGGGAGGCTCTGGGAAGTTCAGCTTTCTCCTACAGCACCTACCAAAGGGTCCCTCGGGCCCACACACCCTGCTTGCAGGGCACAACCCATCTCTTGTTGTCCCCTCCAGTGCCACCCCAGCGGCTGCATCACCGACCTCTTCATCCAGATGGCCATCATCATGCTGCTCAAGCAAACCATCAGCAACATCATGGAATATCTGGTCCCGTAAGCTTCCCCCACTGACACTTTCCAGAGAGCAACCGTGGCCTTTTTCCTTTTTCCCTTTCTCCAGGGATGTCCTGGCAGCAGCCCAGCCCTGCTGTCCTCTGCAGCCATCCAAATCCCTCTTTCCCCTTGCAGCTGGATATCCCACCATCTACGGAAGAAGCCTAAACACCCCAAGAAGAGAAGCGTGATGTTAGGAGAGGAGGAGGAGGCCGAGGACCCCTGCAAAAGGCAGTGGCTGAACAACTACGAACTCAATGAGGTCAACGTCTTCAGCTTGTTCAATGAGTTCTTGGAGATGGGTATGTGGGAGAGGCAGCAGATCTATGTGCACTCTTTGGCTGGGGAGTGGCAGATGCTGGGGAGATGCAGGTAGGGGAGAGCTCAGAGCCACAGCTCCACACACAGCCCAACTCCGAGAGCCCTGGGACACCAAGATCATTCCCAAAACAGAGAGCAGGCAACTGTGCTAGCCTTGGGCCCTGCCTCGGACCTTCCTCTCCTTCCAGGGCCATGGCTGTAACCCCAGGCTGTCCCTGTGCCTGGCTGACTCAATGATTCCCACAGATCCTACTCTCTGACAGCCCTGCAAGAGCTGGGGGGCCCCAAGATGTGGCTATCTCCCCCTTCCACCCCTGCACAGCCCCGTGACACAAGCCACAAAGCAGGACAAGCCCAGGCAGTGTGGGACGTCCCCTCTGTGGCAGCTTCACTCCAGCACCCGGCATTTCCCCTCCGCAGTGATCCAGTACAGCTTCACCACCATCTTCGTGGCAGCCTTTCCCCTGGCCCCGCTGCTGGCCCTCCTCAACAACGTCATCGAGATCCACATGGAYGCCATCAAGATGATGCGGCTGCACCGGCGCATGGTGCCCAGGAAGGCCAATGACATCGGTGAGGGGGGACCTGGAGCATCAGGCTGAGCCCCTGAGCACCCCATGGCAGTGGGACAGCACAGGGAGAGCAGAGGGCTGGGGAAGGACAAACTGCTTCAGACCCTGCCAGAGGCTGATGGACAGCTTGGAGCCTCCTTCCTTGATGTGGCCATCCCTGTACTGGAATGGTGGCAGGGAGCTGGCAGAGGGACTTCACCGGCTGCTCCTCTCCCACAGGGATTTGGCTGCAGGTCCTGGAGGCCATTGGCATCCTGGCTGTCATTGGGAACGGGCTGGTGATTGCCATCACCTCTGACTTCATCCCTGTGCAGGTCTACAAGTACATGTACAGCCCCTGCTCCAGGGAGAACCGCACTATCATGGAGTGAGTTCAGTCCTGGGACATCCCCAAGGCCCTGTCCCCACAGCCCTGTCCCCTGTACCCTTGCAGGAGCACGAGGCAGCAGAGCCATCCCCCAAAGTGAGGTGGGGAGAAAGGGGAGCAGGGGAACATTCTCACATGGCATCATCTTCATCCTCCCACCCACAGTGGGTAAACCCACTGGAAAGGGCAGTGTGTAACACCAGAGAGCAGCAGGATTCCTGGGATGTCGGCACGTGCTCTCTCCTGCCCTGCCCCTGTTCCTCCAAGCCTCGGCTGACTGACCAAGTTAACTCACACTGGACAGAAGCCTCAGAGCCCTCCACTTCCACTGGGCTTTGTGAAAGTGGGGAGCGAGAGCCCCAGGTGGGTTCTGCTTCCCCAGGACAGGAGGGTACAATCTGTGCTCAAACCTCTCCTTCCCCACAGCTGCTCCACCGGYTACATCAACAACAGCCTCTCCGTGTTCCGCATCCAAGACTTCGAGCCCCACACCAAAGTGCCCGACATGCTGCCGGAATTTGATGGGGATCAGATCAAGGAGTGCAGGTAAGAGCAGCCCCCTGCCACCCCCCACCCTGCACCATGACATCCAGGCCACAATGGCATGTCCTGGTCTGGCACCAACGGGACTGCGCTGCAGGTACCGGGATTACCGGAACGCCGACGACTACACCTACACTGTCCAGTTCTGGCACATCTTCGCAGCCCGGCTCGCCTTCCTCATCCTCTTTGAGGTGAGCACCCAGCGGGGTGGGAGAGGGCTGGAAAAGGGGTTGGATCCACGCCTCRTGCCTGGGCTGGGGACCTCTGACTGCCTTTGCTTCCTGCAGCACGTGGCTCTGTGTGTGAAGCTGATCGCAGCCTGGTACATCCCTGACGTCCCCCAGAAGGTCAAGAATAAATTTCTGAGGAAAAAACACAGCAATCTCCGTAAAGAACTGAGGTGAGTGATGCCCTGGAAGGTGCCAGGGGCTGTCTGCCAGGCTTCATGATCCATATGCTTCAGAGCCCCTTTTCCTTCAGAAAAAGAAAAGCTCCAAGTTAAAACAAGAGATTTTTCCCTAGGAGAGACTTTGTCCAGGTTTTCCACCTACACTTGGTTTAAAGGATTAAGTATTTCAGCAGGAAACAACCATTGTGTCTGTCCCAGTGCTGCTGTGCCACATGGACTAAGCCTCGCTCTGGGAAGGAGTCAGCCTGACCCCCCTTCCATGGCCACCCTGTCCCAGCTGCTGCCTATAATCCYGATGGGAGCAGAGCATGGGGTTCAGGAAACACCTCACTGTCTCAACTTTCCATCTCTGCCTTCCTATTGACTGTGGGGTTTCCCATCAACAGGGGTTTCCCACCAACAGCCCATCATTCTTTCTCCATCTATTTTTGGCAAAAGGCCCTGTTTCTACTCGGAGTGGTTTTCCACACCTCCCAACTCTGACAGTTCCCAACACTTCTCTCCTCTCTCCCCAGCATGATGGAATACTCCACCGAGGTGTAGCCAGCGCTCACCGAGGAGCAGGAGAACATGGACTTGAGCCCTTTTCCCAGCCTGGCAGTGCYGGGGGTGCCAGATCAACCCCATGACATAGTGCCACATGTCCCATCTGGGACTTGAGCTGTGAAGGGATGACAAGACAGTGACTTCACAGGAGCAGGCTKCTTTCCCACTTGGGAAGGAAGGACGCTGTGACAGAGCCGGGATGTGCCTCCCCAGCACGTGGAGTGGCTGGGACAGTGCTGTGGCGCTGGGGACGTGTTTCCAGGGGAGCACTCGGCTGCTTGGCTGCAGGASATGACCTGGGTCCTCGTCACTCGCTTCCTCAAGCACAGGAAAACACCACTTACCTCACTCCAAGCTCCCCCTCCTGCCCTTTTTTTTTCTTTTTTTGCACTTTGGCCTCTTTTTCCACTGCCTCCCATGACCTCCCCACGCTCGCACCGCTGGGGAACTTGAGTCCCTCTTTCACCACACTGCTCCCCGGCACGACTCCCACGTGGCTGCAGCTCCGCCCCGCTGTCTCCATGGACATTGCAAAAATGCCGTTGTTATCCCGTGTTTCGCTCCAGGCAGAGCCGGGTCCTGACAGTTGTGCCGGGCTCAGCTGCCGCCAGCCATCGGTAAATAAAAGCAGCACCCACGTGGACACACAGACCGCCACCTGCTGCCCAGTATTGCTCCTGCTTTCCTCCTCCGCCATCCCAAATCATCCCCCAAAACCCTTCCTTGTTTTAGCGGGGATAATCGCAGCAGGTGGGAGCTGCAGTGCCCCTCCCAGGGCTGTGTGCGAGCTGGCTGGCAGGACAGGATTTGACCATGCACAGTGGGAACGCAGCCTGGTAAACGTGCCAGGATAATGGAAATACCTGAGGGAAATGGGGAAAACACAGCAAATCCCAAATGATAAAGGTTATCTCCCCTTTTCCTTCAGAGACACCACTGCTGTCTCCCCCCCCCCCCAAGACAGAAAGGGTTTGTCTGCAGCAGGAACGGGATGACACCCCAGGCTGGATGGGTGACACAGCCACAGAACCCCAGGGGGTTCTGATGGGGGATCCAGAGGCAGAACTGCAGGGCAGACCCTCCTTTCCCACAGGCTGTGACCCCAGCCTGGCTGGACACCACCCTGAGGCCACCCSTGTCCCCCGAGGGTCCCACCACAGGCGCTTCCCAAGGTGTGGGTGCTGGGGCTGTGCCCCGGCGGTGGCACGCCCGAGTCAGGACTGCGGGGAAAGGCACCACGGTTAACTCAGCCTCAACACTTTCCTCCCAAGAGTGTGGAAAGCCACTGAAGCCACTCATAATCCCATAGGAAAGGGAAAGGAGTTTACTGAGCCCTCAGGCTTGTCGTCTTAWTCCATCACTGTGACCAAAACCACCAACACTCCTCTATTTAACTTACCTGCCACAGGGATTACCCTGATGGACAAAAAAGGTCTTATCAGCTCCTGGTTTGCTCCCAAGCCTCCTCATGGCCTTGCCATCCCCAGCACCTGGGCTTGTTCCACATAATCCTTCACCATCCCATAAATCCAAGAGGTTTACGCTCCATCTTGCAGCCGATGCATCACAGTGTCCATGACAAGTGGTCAGCAGTGCAGCCCCCTCAGAAAGGGCTGCTCCAACACCTGCTGCCCCAGTGGCTGTGGGGCCCTGGAGTAGGGAATCCTTCCCACAGCTCCAACGGGATTCCCTCTGTCCCTCTCCCTCCTATAGCAAGCCAGCAGCACTGGTAGTTTATACCCCAAACAATGAGGAGTCAGAGCCGGGGTGTTTCTCCATGGGAACAGGCCCACAGACCTACCTGTGACCTGTACCTGTTTATTTCTGCATGTATATATGGCTATTCAATAGATGTCAACGTATATTTATATAGCATTACATAGAATATATTATTACTATTAAATATATATATAAATATTTAAATGTATATACATACACTGCACCCATGGCCCTGTTCTTCCCTTTTTGACCTCAAATCACGTGCTGGTCAATATTTTGCAGCTCGGGTCGGTGTTTGTCCAGAAGCCGCTGGTGCTGCTGTGACCACACGCATGCCTGGGACGCGCCAAGGCTCTAATCACCTCGGAGTAATTAGCACAGGGAATACCTGCTGTCCACCAGTGACCACGGCTGGATCCGGCTCCCCACAGCCAGCACCAGCTCCATCCAGAAAAACGCCCTGAAATCACGGAGAGAAGGAAAGGGAGGAGAAGGAAACAAACAAGAGAGCTGATGGCAGGCTTCTTGCCCTGACACCTCCGTGGGCTCTTCCAGACATGGAAAACCAGGGGGCTCGTCCTTGGCCCCCAAACCTCATGACCCCTGCTGGGTAGGCTGCTGATCCCCTCCTCTTTTCTCCTTTTTCCTCTCTTTTCTCCTCCCCTGAAGCCGGAGTTGTTGAATTTCCCCCCCCTCCCTGCAGGTTCAGGTGGAGGTGGAGCAGTGGGAGGAGGGACAGCCAGCCCTTCCCACGGGCCTGGCGCCCGGGGATTGGGGCAGCGGGAGCGCCTAGCCGAGGGCAGGGGCTGAACTGGGAGGGGAAATAGATAAACTATTAAAAGAGAAAGGAAAAAAAGAGAAATTCCAGGCACTGACCTGGCCGGTCCGAGCGGCTCGGGCGGGAGGTGACGAGCAGGAAGCCTGCGGCTGGGGACGMTCCAAAGGTAAAGGCAGCTCTGTTCTGCTTCCCTTTCCATGCCCGAAACACCTCAGCTGAGGTCAGCAGGGTTTMACCCTCACCCCGTTCCCTGTGGTTCTCCTCTGGCTCTCCTTCGCTCTCCTCCATCCCTCTTGCTCCCTCGGCACACCCACCCAYAGCCTSCCTGCCTGCCTCGCTTTCCCCATGKCTGTGCTCCAGGGAATGCTGAGTCCAGCCATCATTTACCACCCCACAACATCCACACGGTCCTGTGCCTCAAATCCGGGCTGTCCCCACCCCAAGATGTGGGAAATAGGAGCCACTGCTGCCCGTTAGCCGGTGTTCCTCCCTCCCTGGCACTCAGCAGCCCCAGCACCCACTCTCTTGTGGGCATCCAGCACTGCCATGCCACCGAGCAAAGGGTTCCAGGGGTTTTGGGGCCTCCCCACACCCCCTGGCCAGGCTGCAGCTTCCTTATTCAGGCCATCAGAGGAAATGGCTGAGGAGTGACCCCTCCAGGAGYAGAGCCAGAGCATCCCACCAGGCAGAGATGACCCCATGTCACCCTCAAGAGCATCTCCCACCCTTTCTCCATGTAAAATCCAGGTGGGGTGGCTCATCTCCATCCCATCCTCTTCTTTTTCCTGGCCATGGAGAAACTCAGTTAATCCTTTAGGTATAAATCTCTCCCAGCTGGTCAAGCTGAACACATACCGGGCGTCTGTGGCGTACCTTGATCCCTGGTTTCACCCCACGCCTGGCACCAGGCTGTTCCAGAGGGAAGCTCCATGCCTGCATCCCTGCTGCTCCAGGCCGGGCAGCACCACAGAGCTCCCCTTTCCCATTCCACACCCACAAACACAGGGGACCAGCCCTGCTCCCATCCAAAATCAGGCTGCATCCGGGAGCATCGAGGCTCCAGAGCAAAGAGGAGCCCAGGAGAGGCTTTCACCCCTCCTGATTCCCGTTAGACTGGGTGTTTAYGATGGAAACACCGGCACCATGATGTCCCTGGACTCCCACCTCAGCCCCAACACCCACATCACCCACATCACTGGGGACAGAGGAGCCCAGCCTCGCCGGGCTCTGCTCATCTGCCTGCTCCCACTATCCCACTCTTCCCACGGGGCCACTGCTGCATGATGCCAGCTGGGGGATCCCTGTGTGCCATCCCTGTGCTCCCCGCTCACCTGCAATGCCATGCAGCCGTGCCAATCCCTGGGCACAGCCACGGGGTAGCAACACGCTGAGGCTCCCGACGCACGGGGAGCACCGTGCCCGCCGGGGAGCTCTCCAGGTGGGAGGCTGCGTTTCCATAAACAAACCAGACTGCTGGTAATTAGCAGGTTCAAGGGCATGTCAGGCTGGAGGCAGCTCTGCAGCCCAGGCAGGAGGTTGGCACTGAAAGGGGTCCCACTGAGACCCCCAAAGCTGTGGTTTCCCATGGCTGAGATCATTTCCCCTCCTTGGTTTTGGATTTGGGCCGAAGCCACATTTTTAAAATCCCACAGCCCCCAGCTGGTCATTAATCACCTCCCACCCATAAATTCATGGCTGGGAAAGCCAGGCTGGGAGTCAGCACAGGAAGGGCAGGTGACACAGCGGCCACCAAGCCATGGMTGGGATGTGGCTTTGGCTTTACTACAGAGCAGCAACCACAAACCCCAGACGGAATTGCTGTGGGGGCCGATGAAGGTGGCTGGGCCCTTGGTGTGCCAGCACTCACAGAGCCATTCCCGGTCTGTTCCAGGSCCAGCCTGCCCTGCAGTGGAGGCAGCTGGACTTTGCCCCACCGGAAGACGCTGCGTGCGATGCCGGCAGCGCCTGCACCTGTCACCTGAGTGTGCCATGGAGGGTAGGTGAAATCCCAACTTCCCCCTGTTTGCAGCTGGGAAGGGTCCCCGTGCAGGCACAGCTGGTGACACCTCCTCTGGTGTCACCTCTTAGGGTGCCGAGGGTCCATCCCAGCCCCCCAAACCGGTTCAGCCTGTTGCTGAACAGCCACAAGCGCTGCTCATTGCCAGACCCCCAAAGCAGAGCTTGTTTTTCCGGGATGGCTGCAGCAGTCACCTGCCCGGTGGGGAGCTGGAGCAGCTTCGCCATCCCAACCCCGTCCCCGCTGTGCCCCCAGTCCTTTGCAGCGTGTCCCCCGAAATCCTGGTGCCGGCTGCCAACGAGACGCTGGACGTGGCGCTGGGGAGCCGGGTGGAGCTGAACTGCACCGTGCGCTGGGTGGGCACGGAGCGCTGCCAGCCCGTTCCTGCCTGGAGCAAGGACGGGCAGTGGCTGGGCAATGGGAGCAGCCAGGACACCGCCTGGTGAGGAGCCCGCCCTGGGGACATCCATCCATCTACTTGGGGGGCTGTCACCAGCCAGTCCAACCCATGGCATCCCCGTGTCCCGCCAGGTCTGGCCAAAACGCCTCGGAGCAGYTCCTGGCCAGCGTCCTGCGGCTCAACCTCACCCACGACGGCGATTTYGGGGTGTTTGCCTGCTGGATCAGCAATGCCACAGCCACCTTCACCCTGCGGCGCATGGGTAGGGACATGCTGGGGACAGGGAGGGGGCATCCCACCAGGAGCCCGGGTGCACGGGGGGATTGAGGAGAGCGATCTCTCCGACAYTGGAGTGCAAACCTGCACCAAACCCAGATAACCGTGCCCATCCTGTCCTGACAGAGGCGGTGGGGCACCTGCCGGCAGTGCTGGCGGCCCTCCTGGTCCTGGTGCTCCTGATGCTCCTGGCTGCGCTCTACATCCGRTGCCGCCTGAACGCGCTCCTCTGGTACCAGGACCGCTACGGAGAGCTGGAGATGAACGGTGAGCCGGAGGTGACACCCTGCTGGGAACAGCCTCCTGCAGTCCGGGGGCTCACAGAGCCCTTCCCATGTCATCCCCGCTCCGTGGATCTCCCCAGACGGAAAGCTGTACGACGCCTACATCTCCCACGCCACCGCCCCCGATGACCGCAAGTTCGTCCACTTCATCGTGAAGCCGCAGCTGGAAAACCGCTATGGCTACAAGCTCTTCCTGGACGAGCAGAACATCCTGCCCAACTCAGGTAGGCACCACGCAGGGCCGGGCRGGGGCTGACACGGGGACCCGGGGGGCTTGAGACCCCTCTCTCTGCCCGCAGAGCCGTCAGCCGACCTCATCATGAACGTCAGCCGCTGCCGGCGCCTCATCGTGGTGCTCTCCATCACCTACCTGGAGCAGGACTGGTGCAACAGCAGCTTCAGGTAGGAGCGGGGCAGCTCCCTCGGGAGAGGAGAGGGGCTGGCGGGTCACTCATCCCCCCTGCCACCCACTTGTCTTCCAGGGAAGGGCTCTGGAGGCTGCTGGAGCTTTCCAGGAAACCCATCTTCATCGTCTTTGAGAGCCAGTACCGGGAGATCACCCACCCCGCCATCACCCTGCTGAAGCAGCACCGCAGCGCCGTGACCCTGCTGGTGTGGAGGGCCGGCTCCATGGTGAGCACTGCGGAATCCTGACCCCTCGGCACCCCCTTTCCCTCCCAGCCTGCCTGCTGCCCTTTGGGGCCACCCCATGGTGAAAGCTGAGCAGGACCCATCCCATCAGCTCCCCCCTTCCATTCCCAGCTCCCCATTTGGTGGGGCTGCTCCCCGGGCTCCAGTGCTAAAGGGCAAAAATTGGGGCTCTTACCTTCCAGAGGAAATTTAAAAACCCAACCAGAAGAGCTCTGGATCTGGGAGCTCACCCCCCCAAACCTGCATGGTCAGGACCCTGTGACACTCCAGGGTCTCCCCAACCTCAGCTCCAGGAGCGAAGCTTTGGCCCAGGGCCACTCCGGCCATTTCGGGGCCAGGCTGGGAGCGGGAGCCCTGGGGAGTGTTCCAGCAGGTCGGGCCGGTTTCTCCGCCGGCRCGTGGGCACGGTGCCACGCCGGAGCACAGCCCACACCTTGGCYGAGCTCCCAGCGCCGGGGAGAGCAAGCCGAGCCCGTGAAACCACGCAAGGCCGGGCTCCGGTGGTCCCGGACCAGCTCATCCCCCCTCCGGGTCCCTGCAGACTCCGTCGTCTGATTTCTGGAAGGAGCTGTGCCTGGCCCTGCCGCGCAGGGTGTCCTTCCCAGGGAGCGTGGGGGACCCGCAGACCCAGCTGCAGGAGGACAAGGACCCCATGCTGATCCTGCACAGCAGCTACCTGGACAGCGCAGGAGACCTGGACCCCAGCGGGGACCTCGGCACAGGTCCGTGTCCCTGCTGCTTCTCCTCAGGGGACAGATGTACACTGGAGGTCACTCCTGGGCTTTTCCTCCTGCTCSTGTGGCAGCAGGACGGGCCCAGCCCCTTCCCCCTCAACCCAAAGCCATCTCCCCGCTCCTGCCAGGCCTGCGAGGGCGTGTTTTCGGAAGCCCCCCGCCGCCCCGCCTCGGCGCTCCCAGGGCGTCCAGCAGCACGGAGGATGCGCAGCTGCGGGACAGGCAGCGCTCCGAGCTCGATGTCTCGGATCTGGGATCGCGCAACTACGGAGCCCGCACGGACTTCTACTGCCTGGTGACAGAGGATGACATCTGAGCAGGGCCACGGGCCAGCCACGCAGCGTCCCCCATCCCCATGGGGACACACGGGTCACRGCCGAGGAGCCCGGGAGTTACGATGGGATCGGAGCCACGGCCATGCTGGGAAAGCAGGAGCATCACCCRGAACACCCTGCCCGTAGTGCCTCAGTGCCATCCCTGGGTGTCACCCCTGAGTGCTGGGCCCTGTCCCTTGCCGTGGGYGGCAGGGACATTCTTCCTGCGTGATGGACAAGTGCTGGGATGAGCAATGCTCTCCGAGGAACACCGTGCCCCAGCCCTGGGGAGCACCCAACAGGAGCGGTGGCAGCACCTTTGTCCCGTGGAAACCCCCGTGACAATAAAAGGCTGCTGCACCCAGGGGTCTGTCCATGGTGGGGACACAGGTGACACTGGCAGGGTGACATGGGGTGGTCTCCCCACCACAGGCAGTGGGGTGGGCAGTGCTGGRCTCTGTCCTTCCACACCAGTGTCCCTGTCACACTAACTTGGAGCCATGCCSGACACAGAGTGTGGGATGGCACCGTGGGGTGAGCTCTGTGCTGGTGTCCCCACGGCACCAGTGTCCCCAGAGCACAGTCCCCCTCCCAGGTGCCATTCAAATGCAGGTGCAGCAGGTGGGCATCGCTCAAGGCCTTTATTTCAGGGTACACAGGGCTGGGGGCTGTACACAGAGAGCTGCAGAGCCCAACACCCCCTGACCCCCAGCCAGGTCTGTGCCGGTGCCGCTCCCTGCGGGGGCCACTCCTGCCCTTCCGCCCGCTCCCCACACCTTCCCACCCCTCTACCTACTCTACATCGAGCCCCCCGGGGTGCCCTGTGCCCCCCAAGCCCCAAACCTGCTGGCAGCCCAAAGCCACCCCCAGCCCACCCGCGTGTCCCCTCCCGGCTGCCACCGTGGCACAGAGAACTTTGGACTGAGCACCGGGGACACCGGGGACACTGGGGGCATCTCCCCACCCAAGGGGCGACGCCCCTCAGCAAACACGACCTGGGCGGCCCTGCCCGGATCCTGCTCCTGCCGTGCCAGCAGGGCCCAGCCCTGGCAGCAGCTGGCGAGGAGTGACAGTGGCGGCTCTGCCACGCTGGGACAGTCCCCACAGGGTGACAGGCGGGGCCCTGAGACCGTCCCCGCGCTTCCTGCGGCGAGGGCACGGCACCCCCATCACACACCACCCCCTGCCCACCATCCCCAGCAAAGGGGGAGCGCAGCACTGTCAACAGCATCACCCCCCAGCTCCCTGCAGCYGCTCTGCCACCCCATAAACTGTGGGAAGCCACCTCAGAGCCCTCCAAGCCCCCAAGCCATGCAAAGCCCCATCCCCACCCAGCCAGGGCACAACACACGTGTAACCCACAGCACATCCCACATGGCACAGGGCATGGACACCCACCCGGCCCCRCGGCTCAGGGAGCTGGCATGAAGCACCCCAAAAAGCCTCCCTGCCCCACAGGAGCCTTCCCAAATCACATCAAGCTGCAGGACAAGCCAAGTTTTGCAGACAGCAGCCTGAGAGTGGGGAGGGCCCCCTAACTAAGGTCCCAGTGGGGCCCCACAGCAGAGCTGCTGGGTTTAAGACTGGACAGGAGGGAGGACAGGTGTCCCCTGGCCGGGGGAAGGGGACATGGCAGAGGAGGAGGCGCATGGGATGCAGTAGGGATTAGGCTACGGAGCAGGGATCCGGCGGCGAGCAGCCTCCCCATGGCATGGCCGGCAGCACGGAGCATCCCAGCRGGGCATTCCAGCTCCTAGGGTGTCCTCACAGGCTGAGGAAGTCCTCCTTCCGGTACCCCTTCTGCAAGGAGAGAGCCCCCTCAGGCACACRGAGCCTCTCTGGGGCCACGCTGTCCCCACCCCACCTGTACAGGAACAACACTCCGGGATGTCCCCACACCGGAGGAAAAGCTGGCATGGAGTGGGGTTCTGTCATATTCTGGGAAGCTTTTGGGTGGTGTGGCTCTCCAGGATGAATCCCCTGGCCTCGATTCCCTTGGAATCCCCCCTCAGGATCTCCCCAGGGCTGCGGGAGGCTCTGCAATGGGTACGTACCATCTTGAAGTCCCGGTGGAGCTTGGTGTACTGCCACATGTTCCCCAGGAGGCTGGCAGCAGCTCGGGAGGACTTCTCGTTGTCSGAGCTGGGAAAGGGACAGGATGCAATGAGTTCTGGGGACTGCTGAGCATGGGACAGTGCCCAGCAGCCCRAGGGGACCACCCCAGAGGGACGGGGGGCTTAGTGCGGGCGGGGAGAGGCAGGAGGCAAACCGCTGGATCCCACAACAGGCGGGAGCAGAGAGAGGTTCCCTGATGGGAAAAGACAGCTGTGGCCATGTTGGGGTGTCCTAGGGGGTGACAAAAGGCTGGGACACAGCTGCTCCCACCTGTCCCGCCGCTTCTTGATGAAGAAGAGCTTCCTAAGCCCGTCGAAGTAGACGATGTCGCGAGCGGCCATGGGGCTCTCCACCACCAGGTTGTTGAGCACAGCGATGATGTTCACGATGACATCGGCAGGCGGGGCCTTGTCTCCGACACTCCCCGGCAGCTTCTCGATCAGGTGGCTGACCACCTTGGTGGCTGTGGGCAAAGGGCACGTCAGGGCTGGTGGCCAGAGCCAGGAGGGGACAGGGGACATGGATGGATGGATGGATGGATGGATGGATGGATGGATGGATGGATGGATGGATGGATGGATGGATGGATGGATGGATGGAGCAGCCTGCAGGCTCAGCTGCGAGCAGGATAGAACTGGGATGTGGCTGGAGGCCCCAGGAAAAGGTGGGGCAGCACCCCCGGCCCTGGCGTGCCCCCGGCACTCACACATCTCGTCCTTGTTGCGGGCGTGGCGGGACAGGTTGCGGATGAGGCCGGTGAGGGAGCGCAGCTGGTGGTGGTCAGCGGTGCGGACGCGGTCCAGCACGGGGTTCAGGATGCGCTCCTGCTCCAGCGCCAGCCGGCTCAGCACGCCCGCCCACTGCAAGRCAAACACCCCTTGGAGGCTCTGCCAACTCTCTCCTCCTCCTCCCCTTCCTGGAGGTGCCCGTGCCTCTCTCCAGTGCTCTCCCCGGGCCTCACCCTGCGGTCCCCGGCCGTGATGTTCTGCAGGGCGCCCGAGGCCGCCTCCGTCGTGTGCTTGTTGAGCTCGCAGCGCTGCAGCAACCGGTTGTAGATGCCCACGATCTGCGGGTTCCAGAGCCACTCCATACCCTTGGGGTCCTTGGAGACYTCCGTGAAGGTGACGATGTCCGCGTTCAGGTAGTGCTAAGGGGGACGGGCACCATTAGACTCTGGGGGTGTCCCCTCCGCAGCGTCCCTCACTGCCAKCATTCCCTTTTCCCCGCCTGCCCAGCCTGAACTGCTGGGCAGGAAGCTGGCAGGTCACCCTGGCTGCCTCCTGCCCCATGGCATGGAAAAGCTGGGTTCAGCAACCTGATTCACCCCAAACACCTGATTCACCCTCGCTGAGCTCATCTGTGTGTCGCACCCACCAGCCGAGGCCAGCGTCCACCTCCGCCCCGGCATCACCTCTGCTGCCAAGCCCCACCCCATGACACGGCCAGGATGTGCCCCTGCTGACCTCCCGGGCTTTCTTGCTCTGGGGGCTGAAGCAGCCCACCAGCTCCCCTGTCACAGTGCTGCCGGCGTTCCTGCGGTGGCCCTCGAGGCGCTGCAGCGAGGACGGGGGCATCTCRTCGTACAGGCGGTAGGAGAGGTTGCGCAGGACGCAGACAGCATTCTCCACGCTCTGTGGGGGACAGGGGACGCCAGGGTGTCATCCCTGGGCCACCTGCAGGGTGTGTCCAGCTGGCACTGGGGCTCCATGGCGGAGTCACAACACCGGCGGTGCCCGGTGATCCCGGATAGAGCCGAGCTGGCTCTGCCAGCACCACACTGAGATGTGCCTTTGCAACATCGGAGGGGGCAGCAGCCCCTCGGCTCCCCCAGCAGCAGCTCGGGGGCTCACCTTGTCCTCCGACTTCCCCACCTCCAGGGAGCTGTTCACGTAGTGGATCATGGAGTCCACCAGCCCATGGCACTCACGCATCTTCTGCCGGGTCTGCTGGCTGGCAGAGCTCAGGTTCCTGCAYGAGAACAGGGTTCTGTCATGGACAGAACACACAGCCACACCCCGCCCCCCCGAGCCCAAAAAAGAACCCTGCAGACCCTCTTCTCCTGTCTCTTCCTCCCCCCAGAATTTTGCTCCCAACGGGAGAACCAGGAGGAAGTACCTGAGGAAGCCCGTGGAGTTATAAAAGATCTCAGCCTCTGATGGGTTCTGCTGGATGACACCCGAGCCCCCCAGTCCGGAGAGAGGGACCAGGACCAGGTCTGTGAGCTGCTCCAGCGTGTCCCGGGCCAGGCGGTCCTTCAGGTTGTCACTGGAGGAGAGATTCCACAGGATCCCTGCACAGAGAGGGACCCTCAGTACAGGAATGGCCTCCCCAGGGAGCTCGTGCTGGTGACAACGCTGCAAAGGGATCATCCCTGTGGAGCATCATCCCAGCTCTGCTCAAAGGAGGGGAGTGGGACACCACCCCCAGGTGGTCCCTGTGGTCCCAGACCTGTGACGTTCTTGCGGAGCTCGTCGTCGGGCTCGCGCAGGGTGCGCATGAGCTCGTAGATTCCGTTCTCCTCCACCAGCGCCAGCTTGTTCTCGGCGTTGTCGTAGATGAGGTTGCGCATGGCGCCGGTGGCGTGGCGCTGCACCTCCTGGTTCGGGCTGTTGAACAGCTTCACCAGCTTGGGCATGGCCTGCAGGCTGCGGGCCTGGGGGACGGCCCGGGGGGTCAGACAGGCTGCACTGCCGGGGCTCCCTCCAGCCCCTGAGCCCGCCCGCGGTGTCGGGGGGGCTGGGAAAAGCCCCCGGCCCCGCTGGGAGAAGCCCCTTCATCCTCCCTCCCTGGGGCTCACCTGCTTCTTGGCACCGCTGTCACTGTAGCACTTGTGCTGCAGGTAGGCAGCGCCCAGCACCTGCAGGTTGGGGTCRCTGGCGATCAGGTACTTCACCGCCGAAGGCAGGTCGATGTCGTCAAACCTGGAAGCACGGCCGGGTCAGCCGTTTCCCACGCTGCRGGAGCCCCAGCAGAGCGTCCCCAGCAGGGGATCCTCCACCTCCACGCCCGCCATGTCCCCATCTCCGAGGAGCCCCAACAAACCATCTCCGTGCTGCTGCACTCTGCGGCACGGACCCCCATTCCCAGCGGGATGAGCATCATCCCGCTGCCACGTCTCAGGATGTGTCCATGGAGAAGCCAAGGTCAGAGGCCAGACACACTTGGAGCTCAGCCTGTGCTGCRGTCCATCACCACAGGGCCAAGCCGCACCCACCATCTCATCCCTCGAGCCATGAGGGAACTGAAGGGGTTCTCCCTCCCCTGGCAGGTGACCGCAGTGGTGACAAGCACCGAGACACCCTGGAGCGTCCCCGG